GAAACCGGATTCATCCCCTAGTTTGCCACCCTTATAGGTGGAATATTTTCTTCAAATTTAATGGGATCAATACTGAGGTACCCTCTTTTAAATAAAATAATTACAAAATCCGTTCCGTTCTGACAATTGAGAATACGTCCACTTTTTTTGAAGTCAGTTAAAAATAAGCCTTATTGGTACTATAGTAACGGACCGTTCCCGCAGTGGCATCCTATTCATCGCAGGAATGATTTCTTGCCGGATCTTATTTATTAGCGAACGTTACAGGATCATAAACGTGGTGTTCTTGTGAACGTATTGAAGAACGTTCGTTAAGAAATAAGATCCTGCAAAAAAACCGTTTCAAAAAGGAATGAACGAGATGGCGCGCGTCGGCATATAAATACTTACGGCAAACCTGGATGAGATTAGCACGGGATCGTGGGAAGTAGCACAGAAAATTGGAGGTCTATACCCAGCAGTGGGTGAAATCAGGCGGGAAGTTTTTATGATGATAACTGTTGTCATCTGAACTGGCCTCAATAATGAACTCCCTCCTTGTCCGGACGATTACCATGCTTATCTGCCACGAAAAGACCCCGGTTTGGATTCCCAGGCCGGGAGAAATATTTGTATGACCGACATATGATGATGAGTTTGTCTATGTGTGTGATGTCCACGACGCCTGCGATACAGGAGTCCCTAGTGAAGGTCTATCAGTGTGTTAAAAATAAATAAGAAAATTAAAAATTAAAAAACGACAAAGCAATTACTTTTTTTTATGATACCAAGTCGTGCTACTGGTGTTAAGCGACACGCCTGTCCATTGCAGTTACAGTACCACTCAGAGCTTTAAATCACAAAGATCTTAGGAGTCTTTCACTATGCACCAAAACTAACTCGGACGTCTTAATCATGAGTGTCCCTTGGAGAAATGTTTTGCACACATGCGTAAACTACATTTAATAGTTTATTGCCTACCTGCGAAACTATTTATTATTGTTGTGTTGATAGATATTATTATTAGACGTTGAAAGCAATTTACCTCGTCGCCTCATCGACCGCTTTCGCTTATTTTAGATTCACACCTAGGAAAATTCTAATCTCCATAACGTTTAGGGCCTATGCAGACGATGGTTGAAGTCTTAGATAATAAATGTGAGAATATTTGATGACATCGGTGACACAGTGGTTGGCGCTATAAACGCTTTATGCGAAACTCCTGTTGATTCCCAAGTGGAGTAATGTAACGGACTTATCGTAATTGGTTATGGTCTGGGTGCTCTGGATTCCACACCCGGTGTAAATTTTAATCCTTTGGTGCTCTTAGTATATACAATTTCCTAGTTTGGTCCAGGTAATTAATTAGTATGATTGCTGCCGCATTATTGTTTTTAGTATGTGAAGTAAACATCGGTTCATTTCTTTAAAATCACCATTATATAACATTTACTAATAAAAAAAAACCCTCATTAACTAAAGATAAAAAAAATATATATGTAATATAATGTCATTTCTTTGCATGATGGTATTGTTAATTGTATGATAATTTTTTTTTATTAGAAAACACTCAACCTAAATGAGAGCACATACTTGTAGGTTCAGCCATGTAAAAGACGCATCTGTACTTTTTTTTAATAATAGCAAGTGACGCCACACGCCTGCCCATAACAGTTGCAGTGTTACTCAGAGCTTTAAATGATAAAGATCTGGGGGCACCGCCACTGCGCCCGTCACCCTGAGACGTAAGTTGACAAGTCTCATGTGCCTGTAATTTCACCAGCACCCTTACCCTTCACAACCGGAACACAGTAATGTGACCATTACTGCTTAGTGGTAGAAATAGGTAAGGTGGCAGTACTTCCCTGGACGAGCTCTTGTACAAAGAGCTCCACTGCGATTAAAACTTTCTATACCGATATTACTCTAAAGGGCACAAGAAATGAATTCCTTGACAAACTTATGCCTCAGGCAGATGAGGAGAATATGGAGGAGGTAAAGGCAATGAAGCTAAGTAAAACTGTTCTACAGTTCTTCTGGCCATGAACAATAAATTCAAATACATGATTCCGGGTACTAGTGAAATTACAGACGAATGGGACTTGTCAATCTTATGTCTCAGCGTGACGGGCGCAGTGGCGGTGCTTCTCAGACCTTTGCGCTTTAAAGCTCTGAGTGATACTGCAACTGTTATGGACAGACGTGTCTCTTACCACTAGGCGCAAGACTTGTTCGTCCTGTCATTTGGGATCATTAAAAAAAATCAGTAAACTTTACATTCACCTAAATTAAGTTTTTCAACGCAATATATAACTTGTACAACTAAGACACGTTTTTTTATTAATCGGAAAGCTAATTTCTGGGCGCAAGGTTCCTCAAATCTGTGGTACTCATTCCTGTCCACAGCCAATCATGTCCAAGCCTCAGGCACCTCCGGATTGACGTCATCTCTCCAATAATATATTACTATTATTCTTCTTATTGGCTTATGTTTATTGGAGTAAATGCCATCCATCTCTATTCAGCAGTCTAATTTTGAGTTCCCGTTACGACACTTTCCATTGAGCTTCCCTTCTGCTGATAAGAAAACTATCGTGATGTAATTAGATGCCCAAACATCTTGTCCGTTTGGTTCTCTGTTGTCTTTAATAAACTACTCTTGTCCTGCACTATTTTTAACACCTCTTAATTATCGAGTTCTTAGGTTTTCGCGATTGTTACACATAGGAAATGAAACTATTTTTCCGGATTTAAATCGCGTATATTTGTTTTTTCAAACAAACCGACGTTTCGGGCCCTTTACAGGTCCCATGGTCTGTAAAGGGCCCGAAACAACCGAGTCAACCGTGACCATGGGACCTGTAAAGGGCCCGAAACGTCGGTTTGTTTGAAAAAACAAATATACGCGATTTAAATCCGGAAAAATAGTTTCATTACCTCTTAATTAGTTTTTAGTTCTGTCCAATATCATATCCTATTATTACGTAAAGAAAAATTCCAATGTACTCGGTTTCCTACATCTGCATAGGCCCTTATCCCGGACGGTAATTTACTGTATGTAGTTTAACGAGTTTTCTTCACAATCAGACATTGTTAATGATACTGTTCAGTACTTTATGACGTTGTGCTTCGTTTAGAGAAAATCTTATAATCGATCGAAAGCAAGCTTTACAAGTTTAAGTTTTTGCTTACCACAGCGGAGCACGGGCTTGACAGTATGTTAGTTATCATTCATGAAGTTCCTAAAAGAGAATTGTACAAGGCAATTCTCACGTTGATCACGACTAACCGAGCGTGACGATAATGGGAAAACCTATTGCTTTGGAGACGCCTGTTGTTTCGCTGTTGCATATTGACAAATTTTGTAACTTTATAATTTTTGTTTTGCTATATTTCACGATTTTTTTTACTGTGCCACGCAGAGCTTTAAATGTAAAGAGAGATTTAGATATAGGTTGACAAGTCTCATGGGCCTGTAATGTGCCTTTACCTTTCAAAACCGTAACACAGTAATGCACACATTGCTATTTGGCGGCAGAAATAGGTAAGGTGGCAGTAGGTACTACCCTAGACGAACTCTTTCACAAGGAGCTCTACTGCTAGTATAAATTCTTCATCATGATCAGCAAAATTGTGACGTTTTCCTGGAAGGGCACACGTAATGTATGGACCAGAGGTGAATTTAGATGTCATTGTAAATGCGATAAATGCTAAATGTTAACGTCAAGTATTAAGTACTAGAAAGGAACGAAATACGTCACCAACTACAAAAACTACGTTACGCAGGCCAATTTACAACTCATTGCAAGATAATAAAGTCTTAATAAAGACTGTATTTATTACTTAATAATGACGAATTTCGTAAATCACAAGACAAGACGGAAAGTGCCGGTTACAAAACTGAAATGCCAAAAAGCCAGCTTCGACGGTTATCGTATCAACGGGGTCAAGGATTACATTTTGACTGGGAGGGAATGAACTGATTTGACAGGAACTGTAGGTAGTACAATAATAATAAACTTCTTAAAGTCCGAATTTGGAGATTACGGTTGTTTTGAATATTGTTTACTTAAGAAGATTTTGAAATCAAAGGGTATTAATGGTAAAGAAAAGTTAAGTTTATTTGTATCGAAATTTGAGACAAATGTATATTGGTGAAGCATTGCAACGGTGACAAGAAAAGATACAAAAGGGCCACTACAATACAAAAGATAAAATTTCACTGAATATTGTTCTCATAGTGTCTTTATAGAGATTCAAATGCGACTGGCATTGATGAAGCTTATCAAACACAAAAAATCTTATGTGAACAAATGACAACAAACTTAAAACCTGAAATCATCATGTTGATTGTACTCTACTACTCATTCATAACGATATCTATTCACGACCTCTTTGATCGAGTGGTTTTTTTATTTAATAATAAATAAATATAAATAATAAATAACGCACACACTCAACATAGCCCCGCACTAGGGAAACCCTGTGTCGCGGGTGCCATGGACACACACATAGACAACCACAAATTACACCCAAACTCACGAGAGAAATAAATGTAAGCCATACAAACATTTCTCCCGGCCCGGGAATCGATTCTGGGACCTCTGCGTGGCAGTCCGGCATGGTAACCGTTTGGCCACGGAGGCAGTTGAATCATGTTGTCATCATCATTGAGGACTCGAGTTCGATTCTCAACCGGGTCAATATTGAAAACTCACTTTTCTACATGGTCTCGAGTTTGAGTGTTTGTAGTACTGTCGTTGTTTTCTATTTCCATAGCACAAGTGCTTTACTTACTTAGTTTGGGATAAGAGCAATGTTTATGATGTTGTCTAATATTTAATTTATTTAATTTTATTCTATTCCTTGTGAAAATGAGTAAGAAACTCTGGGGGTTGCCCTATGTACACAAACATTATTGAAATAACCTGCAAGATCTGTGTTAACCGGGAGATCCGGTATTTTGGTATAAGTCTTATCTTTTATGGTATTAGTTAACAAACCTGTTTCTTCTTTTTCAGAGTTTCCTAGCAGCAAACGCAAAATGCTGGTGGGTGGGTGCGCTAGCTGCGGCGACTGCCGAGCTTCGATACGCTGGCTACGTGGCCCCAGGGGTTCTGCTCGTGGCTGGGGCCCCCCGCGCACTCGAAATTGTCCGGGGGGCGTATTCCAGATCCGTGCTTAAGCCTCCTCCCACGTACCTAATTTGTGGTTTGGGTAAGTAATAGTAATATTGTATCACTCTTGGAAGAAAGAAAGTGACAAGTAGCAAATTAAAATTCCGAATAAAAATGAGTTTTGTAGGATTTTCTGATAAAAGTAATAGGTAATATATATTTTTCATATTAAGTAGTAGCCTAGTGTAGCCGTGGTAGCCTAATGCCTACTGCGTCTCAAGCAAAAGGTCGTGGGTTCAAGTCCGGCCTTGCATCTCGGAATTTATGTGCGAAATTTAATATGAAATTTATCATGACCTTTTCGGTGAAGGACAACATCGTGATGAAACCTGCACGTTGAAGAAGGTTCACAACCCTCGGAAAACGTGTAAAATTCCCAACCCTCATTGGGCCAGCGTGACGACTATGTCCCAGACCCTCGTCTGAAAGGAGACCCGTGCCCAGCAGTACGTACGCAGCAGTACGGACGTGTAAAAGGGTTAATGATGATATTAAGTAGTTTGTTTATGTTAAATATTAAGACATATTATAATACGGAAATTTTCATAGTATTTTAGATGGCCATTTAAAAAAGAAACCTTTATTTTCTTTTTTAACTTTAGAAAAATAGTTATTTGTTATGTGAGGCTGCAAAGTTGTTATTTGACGTGAGTTTGTGAGAGCTTGTATTGAAACAAGCGAAGGAAGCTAAGATAGATTCCTGTGCGTAGCGAGGGTTTCAAGGCACGAGACGCTAAACAACTTTGCTGCCGAGCGAAACACACAACTTTTCACCTCACTAAAGCGAGGAAAATGGTAGATGAAAGAACAGTTGAACATCAGTTTCTTTTAATTAAAAGAAAAAGTTATCTTCGGATGCGTTCTGAATTTACACCTCATCAATATCTTATCTTATCTTATCTTATGTAGGCCATACAACTATTTCTCCAGGCCCGGGAATCGAATTTGGGACCTCTGCGTGGCAGTCCGGCGTGGCAACCGTTCGGCCACGGAGGCAGTTTACTTTGGTATATTATAAATAATTAACATTATCAAGTATAGATGCAATGTTTTTGAAAAACAACCAACTCTAAACGTTCTGATCCCAAATGTTCTGGTATGTGGTTAGTGATGAATTTTTTTAGCGTACCTCTAAATACGTCCATGAGTGTAGAATACTAATGCAACCTAGTTTATTACTTTAGTTCACAAGATTTGCCAATGAGGCGTTAAACAATATGCGCCCTGGCAACGTACGTCCGCTTATATGAGAATAAGACACATTCATACGTCGGAAGACATTTTTCTGCAACACCTCGATTTCTAACGATGAAAGTTGTAATGTAGGTACGCTCTTTAATGCATGAAAGCCATACTCGTACACGGTGTCAGCGTTCACGGATTTTCTGAATCTATTTAGGCCAAAGATGTCTCAACCAAGATCAGTATGCGAATGAATTCTCAGTAGCCTACCAAATATACTCATGGACATATTTAGAAGACCATACAAAATATTTCTCCCGGCCCGGGAATCGTACCTGGGACCTCTGCGTGGCAGTCCGGTATGGTAACCATTCGGCCACGGAGGCAGTTAAATTGGATTATGGTGTCAACGTTCATAATCAAAAGACGACTAGAGTCATTCTTTTTTCAAATTTACTGTTCTTCCAAATCGTATAAAAAATGTTGAGAAAAAATAGACATGGAAGTAAAAAACATGATATTCGATAAAAATAAATATTGCAGATAAAAGTTATTTACATAGCACGATTCACAAATTCAAATTCTACGTCGTGAGGTAAATTATTCATTTGGATCGTCATTGTAAGTTACCTTTATTAGTATAGTAATGACAAAAACAGTGGCCTGTATACAGTCGATGATAGATACCTTACCATTTGGTTCTGATTAGATAAGCGTGAAGAAAAGTGTTAAACAAAGTTAACCTTTAACTGTGAACTGTTAAATTCATTTTCATATGATTTCCTAATTGCGTCATTAGTGAATGATGTTTTAAGAAACTTTTTAAGCCAATTTCGATACCTCCAATGAACACTATGTCAACTTATTTCTTGGACCTGTTCTGTTTTTACTTTGTTTTTTGTTTCTTTATTTATTTATTTTTTCACAAAATCAGTATTTTGTTTTTTTTTTCATAACAGAGAATGACTGATGATGTGAATTTGATCTTTAACGTATAAGCTGGAATATACAAAAAGTCTTTTAGAACCAAAAGGTCGGCTAGAAGATCAAGTACCTTAGGGCGTCGACTGTACTTTTAACTATCCAAAACCGTCAATTTAATTATTTAAAGAAACATCATACATCCCACTGTACTTGTAGTTACTCCTACGTATCGCTTTCAATTCAACTCAAGCGCAGGCTTGCCAAGGACGTTCGTTAGCTTATCCTGTTTGTAATACTCATTAATATATTAACTATTATGTGACAGTTATAGTCAGTGCACGTTACAATTGATTTTAAATAGATAGGTTTGTTATCACAAGATAATAATATGTCATTGTCATAAAATAAGGCGGTAGTTCTTATGATTTTATGTCATGTGTTTTAAGGTAGTTGGTTTAAATTATACACCGTGGTGACAAATAAAATTTAATATTATTGTATAGCTTTTTAGCCGATCATTCAAAATTGTCTCAATGTGGTGTAAAACGCTTCTGCAAGATTACGTTTTCAGTAAATGTGATATGTTAGAAGAATAACGACAAAATAACGAAAAAATACTATTACCATATATTAAGCTTGTCTCCCACTGTCCTACATATATTTACATTTCGTCGCCTTAGTTCCTCAAACTCGTATCTTACAGCACAAAGTTACTGAAATGCTGGAAATGGAGTGCATATACACATTTGCTTTGCACACACACTGGCTTTTACCTATTCTTAAAGTAATGTATCCAAATTAACAACATCCTTGATATGAAATTAAAAAAAACAATGGAAAGTTTTGTCATCTTCTGAATAATCACTCTTTGTAAGATACGAGTTTGAAAAAGTAAGACATCGATTTGCTATGCCCTTACAGGGTGTCCCGTGTATGTACCTACTATAATTTTAAGCTTATTCACCAGTACCGTACATGTGAATTGCAATAAACAATACATTCTTTCGTGTCCTCCACTTGCAAGAGCATAACAATAGTAAATAACACAACAAAAATAAGTTGTTCAGATCAGACCCAAAAACTAAAATGTTATGTAATAATTTATTTATGTTTCTTTACCTTCTGAAGATCGCTCATTCTGTACAATTTAGGCTATCATTGTTTGTAGCCCATTCATGTGGCTTATTACTTGTTACTTAAAAATCAGAAAAACCATGAGATAAACAGGCGTATTTAAGAATACACGCTTGTTTATGCTTATAATTTTATTTATTTAAGGCCAATCTGAATTTAGTTGAGATTTGTATGCCGAGGTCAACCTTTCCCTCCATAAATTATATCATTCTTCTCGTAACATCTATACTTTCCATAACAAATTCGATACAATTTTAAAGCAATACACAAAAGTATGTGTATTTTAACCCAGTTAGTTATTTTAACCGAACGTACAAACTTATCTCGTTCAGATACAATTGCGCTCACGTTTCCGCCCACCGGCACCGCTCGCAGCAACCTTGCAAGGACGACCATTGTCCTAGTCTCTTTGTAATACCGCTTCATGCATTTACATAATTCATTGTTTTATATACGAGAAGACGCATCTGTGCTAATAAGAGTGATTTATTGTTGTTTTTCTTTAGACCCTCATATTAATTGTAGATTTAATTTAAAATGATCATGCTTTATTTTAAATTAATTTGTATAAAAGTGTGCTAATAGAGGCAGCTACACTATATGATTCGTTGTAGCCGTCGTAAAAAAGTCCGTCAAAATTTTCGGGAGTCATTTAAAAAACACTGTACATAGATGTCATCGATAGCAAACGGTTGTACATTTGAATTTATAGCTGCGTAAAAAGGCGCGAGAAATACTATCACGTAATAAAGTGTTTTTATGTTGTTTATAGTTATAATAAATCACAAATACAAAGGTGATTAGAAAGACAATTACGAACAACAAATATACTCTAGGTATAAAATAATAACGTATTATCATATCATAACGAAATTATGACTAGGTGAAGTTGAAACATAAGAAGATGTATAACTATTTTTTAGGTTTTAAAATCGAGTACATTGACTCAGTCTGGGGTGACCATTAGATCTATAAAGAGTCAAATAAAGTAAAAAAAAAAAAAAAAACAAAACATGCGATATTTGTTCCCAAAAAATAGTCTAACTCAATATACACATATATAATAAGACGTGATCTCTTACTTTCAAGACACAAGCTTGACCTGAAAGTCACTTATTACTTACGTAGTTACGTTACTTTTTAACTATAAAGATATGAAGATAAACTTCTTGTCTTGTAAGGTTAAAGTGATCAGTTAGTTTATAAGCGAACGTGTACCATCATTTGCTGCAGGTGAATTTGTGAGTAAAGGTGTTCGTATTGCAATTATAACTTCTCACTTACTTGATACGTTATTTAATATGCGTGATGGAGAAGCAGAAAAAAAACGGAACTATAATAAGCATTATACGAAATTTGAATTCAAATTTAGAATTCAAAAGTTCGTAGAAAACAATTTCTGCAATACCAGTCAGCTATTGAAGTCTATTTTTGGTCATTCAACTTTCCAGAGTTTCTTCAAATTGCCATACTGATGCTTTGGAAAAATAGTGCTATCTCGCAAAGGAAAAAGCTGTTACCCATCTTTCGGAATTATCCCTGTCACTTACTGAGACACTTACCGAATTGATGTAAATCCCATTGCTCGAGACAAGTCTCTTGTAACGGAAGAATTTGGACCAAATTCTATTAAACTTACTTGTTGGTTTTTGAACAGGAACCTTTCTTCGTTATGCAGGTTTCATGACATTTTCTTTCGCCATTAGCAAATTCAAATTCCATCTTGAAAGGGTAAAGCCAGTGGACTGCCGGAGATGACGAGTGGCGTCTTTCTTAACAGTCGTAGCAGCTAGAACACCAGCGCCATGGACAATTTATGCTAAACCTGCTGGTTTTTCTTTTCCAATGTCATGCTTTCAAAACAACCTGGTTTAATTACTTCTATATAAATTTGTTTAGTACTGCCTATTAATATTTCCGATTTTTAAGTAATTTGTTTGTATAATCATAGTGTCTTCGAGTAGGGTGCGTTGCCAGCGATGACCTAGGCTCTGAGACGTGGTCACTTACTATGGGCCTCATAAAAAAGCTCAAAGTCGTTCAAAGAGTTAAGGAGCGAGCTATGCTCTGTATTTCTCTACGTGATCGCATCAGAAATGAGGAGATCCGTAGAAGAACGAAAGTCACCGACATAGCTCAAAGGATTAGCAAGATGGGTGGGGTACATAGCTCGTAGAACTGACGGCTGTTGGGGCAGAAAGGTAAGGACCACTCCAGTGGGACGGCTCCCTACTAGATGGATGGATGATCTAGTAAAGGCGGCGGGTCTGGCAATCTTTGGGGGAGACCTATGTTCAGAAGTGGACGTTTTCCGGCTGATATGATGATGATGAATCATCATAGTATTAGTTCTAGTGAATATGTCCCCATGAAAGCTAATAAAGGTTTTTATCTATCTGTGGTTATGGCCGCTGATGGAAATCCAACCCTGGTTCCTCCATATAAGCTATCATTGCTTATTTGCAGAAACAAGGGTAAAGAAACCAGTATGGTAACCTGTCACAAACTCGAAATTTTTTTGTCCGAAATAACGTTTCTTAGAATTTTCTTCTTTATTTATTTATGTATTTTTTTTGTATTCAGGTTACAAAGAAACATAAATACGTACCTTATAGACTAACATATATAATAATTCAATGCTATATAAGAAACACACATATAATATATACCTTAAGGAATAACATACATAAAATATAATAAAACACTATTTCTAACTAATCTACACAAATTGCATTTGTCGGCGACGTTGCACCGTAAACCGAATTATAACGAAACAGTTGTTCTTTCACGATATGTTGAATGTTTATCGCAAAGACACGATTAGATTTGGTTAGGTTAGTTAGGTTTAAAAGAAAATTCATAACCTCGAAAGTAATTTTGAGAGGAAAATGTTCCTTTTTCTTTTAAAAAAAGGTTTAAAAAAAAAAACATTTTCCTCTCAAAATTACTTTCGAGGTTATGAAATTTCGACCAAACGTTATTTCTGGAAAATGTCATTTCCGACTACTGATAGGTAACCAGACAATATCCTTGTCACATCTGTGCTAGTTGTCTCTCTCTTCTATGTAGATTTCGTGCCAAATATTCATTGAAAATAGTAGAACTGTCTACCCTGAACGTAAAAGTTGGTAGTATCCAGACTTAAAATACGGCTTCGACAAAGGTAAATTTACAGACGAATGCCGTTTCAAATGCGAGAAAATTTAGTGCACGATTTTAGTTTTATATGCGGGTGAATGTTTTGGTGCAAAAGTTTTATTTTTGCAATGGTTTTAAGGAAATAAATGGGTTGGGTACGGTTATAGCTCGAGCTTTAGAGGTTAGAGTTGTTACTTACGGTTCTGGTTTATGAAAATGTTCGTTTCTTGGAATGGTAATATAAACAGGTTTTTTGGCAATTCATTATAGGTATAGAGGATTGTAGCTTCGGCACTAGGCACAACGTTGGCATCTGTTTTTATTTGTGTTAATTATGTTTTAGTGTAATAAATCGAAGTAAAATTAAAAATAAAAACTTATAGAAAGGCCACGGCAAAGAGTACGGTCCGAAATGTCACAGGTGTCCGAAATGTCATTTTATCTCTAGGTGCACAACTGGTACTTGTATTTTCTCAGGTCCGAATCGGACTTTGTGCACAAGGGACATTCGAAGTGGGTCTGAATTTTCTAGATGTGTATAATTTCGGATTCGGAACGAATAAGCGGTAAGGGTATAAAAAAAAATATTTTATTTACGTACTCTTGGGAGCGCGGACTGTAGTAGTGATGTTGAATTTAAAGATGACTTGTACTGATTTAAATATTTTAATAAATACGGAGCACACACATTACATGGTACAAGGTGTAGAAGACGTGGGTTACCATATTCTAACAAGATTAATTATGACCATTTTTGTGTTGCCAACACGTACAACAATATTCATTCATAAACATGTGAAAGTGTTGCTACCAATACTAATTTCACGTGTTGCCACCCTTGAAGGTTAAATATATAATTTAAATACACTTAATGCGACAATAATTTCAATTACTAAATAATTAATCAATTTTCTTAAAAACAAGACCAAAATTGTTACACTATTACTTCGGAAAGAAATTTGTAAATGTACTTAGTGTATTTATACCTTATAAGGGTTCTGAAAATAAACAAGTTTTGCATAAAGGTCCCTTGTTTGTTTTTAAAGAGAGTTGTTGGAGATAGTTTCTTTTTAAGGACGAATTGCTCAGCGGTTTAACGACACGTCGCGCCCGTGTTGCCCCGTCAGTCGCCATCAAGCGCTTCTCGACGATGGATGTGTATCAAATATTTTCCGCCTATTCCTATTTTATTCATATTCATTTATAGCGCGATGCGAGACTCGCCTTAATAAGACTATGAACACATGAAAATATATCTTCCACATAAGTAACATTAAAAGATATTTTGTCGATGGACAGTTTCTCATGTAAGTTTCTTTTATTTTAGGTTAAATTAAAATTGCTTATTAGTCTTGTAAAAAGGCTAGATTGTAATTAGTTATAAAATTTTGTTTTACTTTATAACAAATTGAAAAAATTAGAGCTAAAACGATGTTTGATTTCAACAAAGCTGCTCGAACGGAAGCACAACGTCTTTTTCTATTTAAAGCGTTTTCAAACCACTTCAAACTGATTCCTAGATATGGTGACTCCTTCAGCAAACTAACTATTCATTAAACACAAAACCTCTGTCCGCCAAATGGACACCATGATTTACACTCAATCAACAGCTTGAGCGATCGCAGCGGGTGCTAACAGGTAGTGTTTTGCATTATTCGAGCATCGAACCTGGATGCAGGTTTGTTGTTAATTTATTCAATGGATAATGGACCGGCTAGAATAAATGTTTCGACTAGATAAGTTGAAGTTATTTACCGACAGACAGACAGTATTGAAAGTGAAGAAATTTGTTACAATGTTTAAGGGTGTTGGCAGCATTGTATATCAAAAACTTTATATAAAATATTATTGCTCACTTTCCGCTAACTAAAGAAACAACAAATGTTTTGGAAAGAAAACAAACAGGTGTTTTGTCTCTTTTTTTAACTTGTTTCTGTCTTTGATATAATCTCAATACGGAGTATCAAAAAACTGACCTCAAAAGTTCGTGGAATTACATCTATTTGCCAAGTTTTATTGAAATCGGTTACCGGAAAGTAAGCGAAACCGGATTCATCCCCTAGTTTGCCAATCAGAAAGATGGAATATTTTCTTAAAATTTAAATGAGACCACTACTGAGGTACCCTCTTTCCAATAAAAAAAGAATCATTAAAATCGGTTCACAAATTTTATTTTATCGCGCAACATATATACAAAAAAAAACAATCAAATTGAGAACCTCCTCCTTTTTTGAAGTCAGTTAAATATACAATTTGTAAATGAACAAATACTTTAGT